CCCGTTTGGCCCGCGGTCCCGGGCCTGGACCGGCCCACTTGCCAGCCTTATCTACAGCCTATTCAACTTGGTCTCATTTTTTATTTTGGTACTCCATCTCAACCTTATTCCATTTTGGTCCTCCAACTCTATTTCTTATGTTTCATTTTAACACAAAAGCTTAAACCAATGCAAAGAAATACAGCGCGTGTGTATATACAAATCTGAGGTGTAATAAATATCCAATTAAATGTTGTTCATCCTTGTCAAACGGGTCAATACTAAAATACCCGACCCAAATTTCTTGATGTCCATGATAATTTTAGTTCAACTTGAAATCCACAAGAACAAATATCCATTCCATTATGAATTTTTTTTTTCTTTGGGACATGAATTCACTTTAAACTTCAAGCTTATACGAAATAAAGGATGAAAAAATCATATGACAACATTTAATTGAATATTTATTACACCTCAGATTTGTGTATACACATGCACTGTATTTTTTTGCACTGGTTTTAACTTTTGTGTTAAAATGAAACATAAGAAATAGAATTGAAGGACCAAAATGGAACAAAGTTGAAATAGAGTGCCAAAATAAAAAATGGAATCAAGTTGAATGAGCTATATATATATATATATATATATATATATATATTTGGCCTTTAATTTAACAAACAAGATTTTATTGACAGTTGGACAAATCCCACCTTTCCATCTACTTTTCTTTGGACAATATCACCCTCCTATATTTTGGATTTTACATTTTTGGAGATTTTGATCGAAACGGAGAATTCACCCTCAAATATTTGGATTAGGACATTCCTACCCCACTTCCATCTCCACATATTATATTATCTAAGAGTAAATATCACATAATTAAACCAATTCAGTTCACCTTTAAATAAAATAAAGAATCCCCTTCAATATTTTAGATTAAATGGTCAATGGAATCATCATTATCCAAATTTTCGACATATCAAAAAATGAACCTCGATCATTATGGATAATAAGACCCTATCTTAATTTCGAATTGCTAAATTAGAGATGTAATACTCCAATGTCCACATAATACTTTTGGATAATCTTTTTGTTAATGAATAAAATATGTATTATAATTCATAATAGCTGATGTTTATGTTTTACCCTTTAAATACGTACTGTATGTCTGGAGATCAAATAAGTTAGTTCTCTTTGTTTTTTTTCCTTTTAGGCTCTCATCACAATCTTATTTGCAAGGTCAAAGAAAAAACTCTATAAGGAGGTAAATTTAATTTTGTTAGTTCGATCTATCAATTCTTATGCAATCATGTTTCATAATACATTAGCCTCTCATTTTAAGACTTATGATACATAATACATTAGGGAGAAAGAAAACAAAAATGTTTTAGCAATCTTTTTTTTTATACATTCCACACAAACACAACCAAAAAAGAAAATAAACTTGATAACCTTAATCACTAAAATTTACACTAAAGTCATGTTCATAAATAACCTTCTAGCCACTTTCTTGTCACTCCCAGAAAGCACAATTGGAGCTGCTGGTGTCCTCCCAAAAAATGCAAAGTTTGATTTTGCATTGTCCTGCTTTGACTGAATACATGTATTTCAAAGAGTTTTTAAACTCATATGCAATTTTGGTATTCTTGATAAAGGACTTGAAAAATCAGGACTATAAAGTTAAGTCATTCTAACTCAATAACTTTAGCTAAGACCTTATATATGTGTTAGAAAATTCAATAAGTACAAAAAATTATTTCCAAACTCGGTAAATCAAATGAATTGTGCTAGAATCCCCAACTCAAACACAGAGAATTTAAATCCCGAAGACGAAAGCATCAAACTGCACAAGGATAAGGTTTGTTTACCTCTATAAGTATTATTTAGATATCGACAAATACATTAAAAGAAGCTACAAAAATGCGGCAAAAAGAATTTCAATACATACTCTGACTACCGCAAGTATTTACAGATTTGGATGTACAAGCATATCCATTGTACAGCTCCAGGATCAGCCTTGCCAAAAGTTTTCTGCATCTCATCGTTTTCAATTGCTTGATCTCCCCCACAGTTGCATTGACCATAGATTTTGACACCCTAGGAGTTGTAGCGGGGTGGAGGAGATTGAAGATCTTGTATATATAGTCATACCCATGACACAATGTTTTTCCATGTATCGTCGTCTCCTTCATTTATTGACGTACGTACCACCAGAGTCAACAAGTTCACAATGAGTGTGATCTTAATTGTACGTATACATATTTTAAATACTTCTTCATATGTATACACAGTTCGATCCAAATCAACTTGCCCTAAATTAGCGTCTGGTTACCAACATAAGCCTTGATGCAGTCAGCAACTTCATGTAATACCATAATCACGAGGGAGAAATCAACTGAATCTGACCTTTCGTTTCCAAAAGATCTTGTTTGATTCAACAAATATATTGAGCCTTAAGCCAAATCCATCTCACTATCTCAGACTTCCAATGCTATCTGTTCCTGCAGACTTAAAGCACTTAAGCCTCTACTCATTTTGCTTTCTTCTGCATTAAAGAGTTCTTCATAATACCTCTTCCAATGGGAAGGTTTCCTACATCTCCTGATTAAATCCAGGCTTTTACTGTTGCCTCTTAGAAGCAGCAAAATCTGTATTAATCCAGAGTTCAGATCTTAGTTCATCAAGCGCTACATAAGAATGTTAGTTATAGAATTGAAATAGTTGATGCAGCGCGAAAATGTATAATAAACAAAGATTTAAACTAATATATGCTCTCAGGGACTACTTGAAAATTTGAAATTGATCAAATGACTTTCAGCACTTGCCTGATTTATTCGAGGTCGTCTAATTGAAGACTGTTGCACACATAAAGAAGCAGCTAAGACCATGAGGTTAATCTGTAGTAAGTTATAGTCATCAGCAAGTGAAGGATCGACGAGCTCTCTAATTCTGTTCTTCTTCAGCAGAGGTTTAGCCTAGAATAAGCAAAAAGGAGTGTTCAGCACGTATACTTAACATACAAATAGTATGCAGGGGCAAAGTATAGGTGGAGAAACGAGGCATACCCATATGACGAGGCTTTGCTGTGAATAATCAAGGGCGCGACGTCCAGTAATAAGTTCCAAAAGTAGCACTCCGAATGCAAAAACATCAGTTTTTTCATCCACTATGCCATGCATCAAGAACTCTGGAGCAAGATAGCTGCAGTCACAAGGTTTGATCAGAACACTTTGGGAAGACAAATTAGAAGCATTATATCGCAAGTAGGAAGGTAAGGGAAGGCCACAAACTATACGTACCCAAATGTTCCTTCAAATTTCGATACAGTGAGGTGAGTCCATCGTTCTGGTAGCCATTTTGCAAGCCCAAAATCACATATCTGAATTTAAAACAGATATTTGACGTTTTATTAATATCAAGAAAGTTGGAAGTAAGAAAAAGAGGATTCTGTTTCCAGTGAGTATACTTTAGTAGAGGACTTGACAATTAGGAGAAAAATGTTAAATATAAATCTCAGAGGTAAGTAAAATACCTGAGGCTCAAGGTCCTTTGTGAGCAATATATTTGCTGCTTTAATATCTCTGTGGATAATCCTTCTTTGACCACCCTCATGAAGATATAGTATCCCTTCAGCTATTCCTATGGCTACTTTATACCTGATTTTCCATTCTAGTTTCTGCTTTGATGCTGTGAAATATTGTAGAATTAGAGTAAAGAAACACAGAAGAGTAAAAGAATTAGACACAATACATGAGATTTGTTAAAATAAGTTGGACAAATTAAACACTAACCATGCAACATATTGGCCAAGCTTCCATAAGGAGATAGCTCAAGAACAAGAAAGAGTCCACCATCAACAGCATAACCAATCAATTTAGCAGTGTTTGGATGATTGATATGTGCCATTATCCCAAGCTCAGATAAGAAGTCCCCTATTCTCTCATCTTGTTGTCCCCTCATTAGCCGCTTAACTGCTATATATTGGCCATTTCTCAACCGCCCTTTATGAACTTCAGCATAACCACCCTTTCCTATCAAATTTTCTACAGCAAAAAATTGCCAAAGTTTTTCATCATCAGAAACTAAAAAGTTGTTGATTTTTTCAATTAACAATAGTTATACAACAGCAACAAAAAATATTTGACTCAATCCCATGCAAGTTAGAGTCGGCTATATCAATCCTCACTATCCATGTCGTTCCAATTACGCACGTCTTATAGCATGTTTGGCCCAACTTCTAAAATCAGCTTATATTAAGAAATACTTTTCTCAAAAGTGCTTTTCGAAAAAAGTACTTTTGGTGAGAAACAGTTTGTGTTTGGATACTTAGCTTGAAAAGTACTTTTGAATAGCAATTGGTGTTTTGTCAAGCTTTTAAAAAGTGTTTCTAAGTGTATTTTTCTCAAAAGTGAATTTGTAGAGAAGCTACCTTTTTTTGTTTCTCAAAAAATGCTTTTGTTTCTCTTCAAAAGCACCATTTTTCTTCCAAAAGTTTGGCCAAACACCTTAATTTTAGGAAAAAAACACTTTGGACAAAAAAAAAAAGCACTTTTGCCTCAAAACAAGCTTATAGCCTCTTTGGTCAAACTTCTCCAAGTTGAAAAGCATTTTTTTTTTTTTAAAAAAGTGCTTTTTTCAAAGTTAGAAATGTTTGGTCAAGCTTTTAGAAGGAAAAAAGTGATTTTTAGGAGAATCAGAAAAAAATAACTTTTTCCCAGAAAAACTTTTTTGAGAAGCACTTTTGAGAAAAATATATTTAGAAACACCTTTTTAAAAGCTTGGCCAAACACAAATTGCTGCTTAGAAGTCTTTTCAAATTAATTAACCAAACATAAACTGTTTTTCATCAAAAAATACTTTTGAAAAAAACACTTTTGAAAGAAAAACACTTCTAAAAAAATAAGCTGACCAAACACACTACTAGCCAAACATTAAAAAATTAGTTTCTCTAGCTAGTCACTGTCTACTAGCATATATTTCTCTAGCAAGCCTAAACAATCCTAGCACATATCGGACCAAAAGCAACCGTACAAACATGACTGAAACTTAATACTAATAGTTAAGTCTAGCATTCCAAAAATTAGTTTCTCTAGCACTAGTTACTTTCTACTAGCATATATATCTGTAGCAAGCCTAAAAACTCAAATATAGGACCTAAAGCAACCGTACTAACATGACTGAAACTTAATACTAACAGATAATGTCACTATATGAATCCTAGTGTCGCCTATTCAAGGCTGCCTCATCCAATATTACAAAAATTACTTTCTCTAGTACTAAAAGTTCTCTATATTATAAACTAGTAACAAGCCTAAAAGCTCCTAACAAACATGGACCTAAAGTAACCCTACTAACATGACTAAAACTTAACAATTTGTTATTTCAAGCAAATGACCAACCTTTGTGAAAATTGTTGGTTGCAGTTTGGAGCTCCGAGAGGGTGAAAAGTTTCCATTGAGGTTTGAAATAGCTCAAACCATTATCAAGAATGGGATTTGGCATGACACTGCTGCTACTTGTCTCTCTCATGCTTCTGCTGAATCTTTTGGAAAGTTTGAGAGAACTAATTAGAGGATCTTTGGCAAAGTGTCCTTTCGATTTACTTCTAAATAGCTCGAGAAAACCAGTCCATCGAGAAGCAGATCTTTGAATTTTCGGGCCATCAAATTCTGAAGTGCTGGCATTTGAAGAGTCTGATTCAGATTCTGCAGTTCTTAAAAAGTCCTCAAGTACTGTATCTGGAGAATATGTATTCACCTTTTCTTTCTCCATTTCTAGAGCTCAAACGTCGTCTATCATAAAGTAGTAGCAGACACTTGTTAGATTAAATTATGCATAGTTGCAAAAGTTGTTTAAAGTTGAAAGGCAGAGCCAAAACAAAAGACAGCTTTTAAAACGACTAATCACTATAATTGACAAACAAACTAAGACTGATGACGAATAAAAAGGTTCAAAATTTAGAACAGGAAAAGGCCAAAATATCTGAGGTAAAAACAGAAAAATGCTTAATATGGCCGGAACAAGGAATTGGAAATCAACAAATAAAACAGAGCATCTCCCCAGAAACTATTATTCATCTCTTTCATTTTATATAGCGGTGATTGACAGAGTACAGAATTTGCAAAAGAAAGAAAGACTTCTCATACATACCAAAAATATGTTTAGAACTCAGTGGTCTTAAACATGTTCAGTAATGGCTATGACGACATGTCATTAGGAACAAAATAGAAGTTAAAACACTCATTCTTATTGAAATATACTAAACGAAAAAATATAAAATGGAAGGGAGAGAGTACTATCAAGAAAGATGAAAAATGTCAGCAGCCCCATGTAAGTATTTCTGCAAACAGAAAAACTAGATATGATGGCATACCAGAAAGAAGAAGAAGTTGACAGAGGTTTTCCAGGAGGAAGCACAAAGTTCCAGAACAGAAACTTAACGGTGGAAGAGATAATACGGAGATGTGGATATTGTAGCTAAATATTTCTGGGTTTTAGGATCATCCCAAGACATAAGGAATATGTAGGAAATAAAGAATTCGTTTTTTCTTTTCTTTTTATTAGCAGTGTTTTATTTTTTGAAATAAAGAAGAATTCAAGTTTGGCGTCCTAATATCAATTGAATGGCTTCTTTATGATCTCTTTTTGTTGTTATCCCTGAATGAGTACTTTATATTATTACTCTTTTGAAACACGCAATAGGCAGATGTTGCTCTATTTTCTTCACAAACAAGCTGCCTAACTTACCCCACTCCTCACCAACCTAGAAACCTCAAAATAAGGAAAAATAGACAAGCTTCAAAATAAGGATAACAAAAGGAAAATAGAATTAATTATTTTTAAGAACTGCACAGTATCTCACGGTAGAATTATTGCTTTTATATTTAGGAAGAATGACGAAATATTTGAGCAGCCGCATTCACACGATTCTCATGCTTTGTTGGAAGTTTCTATATGGATAACAACTTCAAATATTGAGTTCTCCTCCATTTGAATTTGATTAGCTTGAATAGTTAATTTTTAATCATTTGCTGCTCTTTCATTTCAAGGTAGTTGACCCACTAAATTTGAACTCTTTTTTTATAGTAACAAATTTTGAGTTTAAATTATGTATACTGACTTTGTACAAGTTAATTAAAATCACCTGTCACAAAAGCTACATATTCATAGCACGACCGATATGGTAAGCTGAAATTTATATAATGGCAGTCAATTTTATCCAATTAAATCGTATTAATAATATTTTAAAAAATTATTCTATTGATATAACTTTAATTAATATGGTTCCTCATGATTCCTACAACTATATATGGGTTAATATATCCTTGAGAGCTCGTTAAGTTATTAAAAGAATAGATATAATTAGGGGTGTACAAAAAAAACCGATAAATCGAATCAAATCGGGAAAAAAAATCTGATTGTGGTTTGGTATTGGAAAAAAAAAATCAACAATAATTGGTTTGGTTTGATTTTAATAAAAAAATCAAACCGAAACCAAACCAACCTGATTTTACATTTATACAATTTTAAATTTTTTTTATACATATAAATATTTATTGTAATATAATGTATAAATATTTCTTAATTTTTTTTATATTTTTATTTTTTAACGTATTATTTCAAGTTTGGACTTAATATTCTTGAATGGTAAATAAATTTTATAACCCATAAATGTAGTAACTCAAACAAAGTTCAAATCAATACTAATTCTAACAAAAAAAATTCAATTCAACACTAGGAATGCCGATAGTGTTGGATATCTATATTTTTAGTTTTGCATTGATTTATAATAAAAATG